GGGGATTATTAGGAGGCCATGATCGGTAAGGGCCAATTGGAAATTTGGCCAGGACACCGGGGACACCTTATAATACACCTTATAATAAGTCTCTATCAACATTGGACACCACGATATGCAGTTTTCTCCCATCCTTTTTTGCAAACCTCCTTGAACTCTGTCAGGTTTATTTGGGATCATAGATGGACAGCAGTTTTAAAGTCTTGCCCCAGATTTTTTATCAGATTCAAATCAGTCTTTGACTGGCACACCCAGGTACTGTACATTCACTTTCTTCTTGTTAAGCTATGCCAATGTAGTTTGGAGTCATTGCGCAGCTGAAAGGTTAATTGTTTTGTCCAAGTTTTAAGTCTTTAGAGACTGAAGAAGGTTTTGCTTGATGATTTGCTTGTAGTTTTCTCCATGCATTTTCCCCTCAATCTTGACAGTCATGAATTCCTGTTAGTGAGACACTGTTCCCTAACATAATGCACGCATTGCTGTGCTTGGCAGCAAGGCTGCTGTCGATTTGGTGATTTGTTGTGTGGGCTTTGAACTAGAGGCAATGCATTGCGTTTAGACCAAAGACTTCCACTTTTGTCTTTGACCACAAAACAAGTAAAGGATAATTCCACTCTGTCTTCTTCAGATGTGAAAAGCTGAACACCTGAAATTGGTGGATCGCAAGAATGAAAAGCCATTCTGGTTTTCATTTCATATTGCACAGTTTCTTAATGTAACTACCTGATCACGTGTGTGTGTTTATAGTGTAATGCAGAAGCATGAAGAGCTATGAAGACCTGAGTGATAACAGCCCAGCACACAGAAGCCAAACTGATTTTCTTCACTTCCAGTCAAGATAACAATCATGATGGTCTGCATTACCACCTGCTTTTTGATAGTATCTTTTTTTCATTGTGATTTTTGTTGTTGCATTTCGTATTTGTAAAATTATTTATATCACATTGCTGACGCATAGATTCAAAAAGGGAGAAGACAAAATGACTATTTGTTGTAAGTGAATCACATACTGTAGTATCAAACATCGTGTTTTTGTATTAAAACGTGTATCTCATTCTGAGGTTTATTTTTTCATTTTCATTAAATACATTGGAGTAGTCAGCATCTTTAAGGTTATTCTTCTCCTTGACCTGGAAAAAAACTTTTCCCGAAAGGTTCGATAAATTTATAATAGGCATAATAGGTACTGTATGATTAATGTTTCTGAATTTGAAATTCTATTATCATAATCTTGTAGACTTTATTATTTAAATAGTGCAATCATTTGATTTGTTTTTTACTTCTGCAAAACGACAATGGAAGACCGGGGATTATTATCTTTTTAATGACAGCAAAACCATTATATTCGGAATCGGGAAAACGACCAATTCCACACAAAAATGTCATCTGTAAACTTCACAGCACATTAGGGACACTTCGTTTCAGAAAAAGGGACTGACTTTTAAAATCCCTGCGGGATATCCGAGTCCTCTCTACATAATTTATTGGAAGCGCAGCGAGGGGAAGTGTAAGGTACAGCGACTAGACTTTTATTTGCATACGTATGGTAACAATGCCCAAGTGGTCATGTTAGCCGGAAACCCGCGTTGAGGAGTCAGCTTCAAGTCCCTCGAAGTGAGCCGAGTTTAAATCTACAAGTAACAGCTGTGTTTTTTAACTCGAATTACCTGGGTCTCACCGTACATATCCGCTGGGCGTTGCCATTTTAGATCCCTCCTTCAGATACAAATACTGATAGTATTATAGAAGTGACTTCAATCTTTAAAAAGCAACGCGCTGTGAGGAAAGCGTGGCGTGTCTGTCATTTTAGCCTTTTTTTTTCTTCCCATTTCGCCGGGAGGCTTATTATGAATTAAAAAGTTATAGAAAGCTCAGGGTAATGTAGTTCCAAAGTTTAAGCTGTGTAAATTGAACTACAAATGCTTAATTTTCTGCAACGAGTTGGATGGACCTAAGCAGTAGTGGAAAAGCCGAGAAGTCAGAATGACTTGTTTGTAGTTAAATCAACTTGGTGCGAACTTGCCAAGAGGTTTTCACTGGAGAGAAAAAGGATACGGCAATCGCTTCGGCGGTGTTCCTGAAAGGCCAATAAAATGATGTTCTTTTTTCCAGTCAAAAAATTAAGAAGAAATGTGAAATATGTTGTGTTTGTTGCGGTGTTAATGTTTGGAGCTCTTACTGCTTACCTGCAGTTTGTTGCGTCCAATACATGGAGCCCCACTCCCCGTAAGTATTCCTCTTCTAATATGTTAATGGTCATGCTAGAAACAACAGTAGCAGTATAATTGCTGTGAAATCACCAATTTCGGCGATCGGTGTAGTATTATGTGTTGGTGTGTGTTTTCAGACTGATCTCGTCTCATGCGGGACACGGCATACAGTACAGTACCACTGAATGAGGCTTTGCTTTGTTGTTGACCTTCACTTCCTTGGAGCGTGCTGGTGCGTGAGCTTCGTTTCATTTTCAAGCGAGGGTCTAAAGCTTAAAACCGCTCCAGTCTTCTAAATAACATACACATGACTGTTATTACACAGAGGTTTTAACTTCTATTTAGGCAGAAGTGAAATAAACTTTAGATCGGATGTTAGTTTTAGAGTGTTCTGCTGCAGGTTAGATGTACAGTGGGTTCAGAAATATGTAAGTTATCAGTTTCCTTATAAAATGTTCAATTTTTCAAAATGTTCATTGTGTAGACCCGAGTATTAATATTTCGAAACGATAAAGGGTGATTGATATAATTAGTGCAGTTGGTAGTGTGGTAAGGAGAAAGTGAACATGCAAAAAAGTCATAAACTGACTTATCTATGCGATAAGTATTTGGGAATTCATATAATGCATGAATGTGCGATTTTTGCAGTTCCGCATTTAAATAGTTAAAAACATGTGTCGGTATTTAAAGTGCATGAGACAGCTTACTTATCCAGACAAATCACTGATGCGACAGACTGGATCATCGTCCAGGCAAAGTGAAGGCAGTACTGAATTTTTAATACTATACACTACTTGTAACGGTTTCTGCAGCATAAAAATGAAATGTGAGCTAGTACAAGCAAATCATGTCAAGCAAAACCTGATTACACTTCACATGCGTGCTTCACTGTATCACGGGGGAATAAGCTTTGAGATAATGCTGAATTTAAACCAGTTCATAGCCAATATTATAATTTAAATTGGCGAAGACCTGTTACAAAAATATCGCTGAATAGATTGTATCCTTAAGGAAAAAAAACTGACAATCCTGCTTATTGTTGTAGTTGTTTTATCTATTTTATCAAGCTATTTATTTTAAGCTATTCATCAGCAGATATTGCACAATTTCATCTCATGAAGTGATGGTCAATATCAGGTTCCCGGAGGTAAAAGACAGATTATGAGAGTCATATGACAATATTTAAATTTGTCCCTGTCGTTTCGTTTTTTGAAATACGCAGCTCTCACTATACATCTCAAATGATTTTTCGAGAAAAAAATGGAAATTTGTGAAACAAATCAAAGACGTCACTCAGTACAAACAATGTTGACTCGCTAGTTTTGTTAGATGAGTCATCAGCTATGTTATTGCACATGTACATTATCCTGTTGAGATTTTATGCTCTTTAGTGGTATGCAAGTGCTATTCAACATCCTGTTTCGAAAGAACGGTAAAACCATACATAATTAAACATTTTTGTGGTATGAAATCTTGTTGGTTATTGTAATAAATTAGTAAACTTATTAAATAAGTATATATACTATAGTTAACAAACTATGAAATATGAAGGAATATTTTAAGTTTAATAAAATTCATATGAATTTTATACTTATAACTTCATGTACAGTATGCATGGTGACTGATAAAAAATCTCTATTTGAAGCTTTCCTCTTTGAGATCTTTTTGGTTAGTGGAAAAAATGCAGTAATGAAGTAGAAAAATTTTACTTTTGAGCACATTTACAAACCATCCATAAAGGGAAATAAAGATTTGACCCTTCTTTTCTCCTAGTTCACGTGCAGAAGAAAACTTTTTTTTTTCCCTCATTGAGAGCAATTTTAATATTTGAGCCTAAATATGCCTGCTGCAATTTCTTATCTGGTTAAGTTTGTTTTAAATACAACGTATTGTCCCGTTTATATGAGATGAACATATAATAAAAAATCTCATAGGATGTGAGCAGTGCTGGTCATTATTAAAAAGTGAGTCTATTGGGATATTTTTGGGCTAGTTTTAGTGGGTTAGTTTTTATATCCTCATTCTGCCTATTTTGCTTTTTTGTTATAGCCACAGCGAGACCATTGCAAATTCAATATTATTACATGCAGGTATTTGTAGAAACAAACTTTTAAACTGAAAATTATGTATGGGACAACCTTTATACTGTTTGTAGCTGTGCATTGTTGTATTCATGTTTTGGGACATATTAGAACATTTGTAGTTATATGAGTAGAATTTGCTAATGGTCCTTTACAGACTATTTGCAACAGTATTTGGAATACAAACAATTTTATTGTCCTGTGCTCCAAGTCATAAATTCTTAAGTGGTACTTATCACATCATGAAAAAGAAGTATGCAAAGCATAGTAATAGATTATTAGCATATATTGTCTACTTGGTATTAATTTAGGTCAGTGTTTCCTGGACCAGTGTCACTCAAAGTCTGTGAATCTAAACCTTAAACTTTCTAAGACTATACGGAAGATTCTGAATAAATTTACAAATATTTTTTCAAATGACAGATTTTCATTGGGCGTAATTGTTTCTCATGGGACCTGTAGTCAAACTTGATTGGAAGAGAATATTAAAAGTTGTAGTGTCATGTAAAAGTGGTAGTGGGGTAATTTTAAAATCTTGTCATTTATGGGAAAAAAAACAGGTTTTTGAACAATTTGTACTGTATTTGGTAATGTGACATTTTCTATAATTGCAGTATTCTTGGAGATTCTATACTTAGAAATTCAGCAACTGAATATTGAAACCAATAGTGTTTGGTATATTAAAATATTATAATATTATAAATATACATATATTCTGAAATATAAGTGAAATGGAAAAGGAATGGGCTTGGTGATTCCTCTGTAACTCATCAGTATCTGCTTTCATAAGAACATAAGGATAATCTAGCCTATTTGGTATTTAGTAGTGAATTTATCCAAGGATCCCATACATGTGTTTTTTCCAAAGAAACCAGAGTAACAGTTTTTATAATACAGCTGGTAGCTTATTCCATACTCCCATAACCCAGTGAGTAACGAAGTGCCTTCTGTTCTCAATTCTAAATTCAGTTCTTTGTAGTTTCCACTTGTGTCCTCTGATTCGAGTTTCACTGTTCATTTGGAAGAAATCCACTAGGTTGAGGATTGAATCCTCTCGTGGTCTTGAAAGTTTTGGTTCCTTCAGATGACAGTCTAGGTTTAATTTCTGTAAGTGCTAATCAGATGTACGTTTTTGTGTTTTGTCAACTATAAAAGAGGAGAAACCTGCCTACATACAAAACAAATGTTGTTAAGGGTAGAAGGCATAACAAAGCATTCTTCTTCAGTAGTGGATACTGCTTACTGATTTAGATCCATTTCATATGGAAATGGGAGTGAATTTGATTTCCAGATTTCCTTCATTGGACATCACCTCCAATCAGTGATTGATTCAAATCTTGTTCAATTTAATTTATTTTTATATAGCACCTTTCACAACAAGGTTGCCCCAAGGCGCTTAAAGCAAGTGATCATACGTGTTGTGAAAGTGTTGTCAATTTCATGGGAGTGTTCATTAAAGTAATAATTCAGGTGTTAATGCTGGGGGAAAAACAGGCAGAATGCTGTTGGCTGTCATGAAGGATGTAATAGATAGTCTGTACGTTTTGTGGCCTAATAGCCAGAAATCAAAACTCATTAAGTTAGAATTTACAGTACATTGCCTTTATTTCCACATTGTAGCACACAACAAGTAAAAAACAAATGCTCAAACATTTTGAAAAGTAATTTCCAGTTAAAACCTAGTAAAATGGGTGGGATAAGTGTACACACCCTTGTTTGTACTTGGTGGAAGCACTTGTTGCTTAAATTACAGCTAATTCTATATGGATAGGAATGTAGTAACACAACTTACCTAGAAATAGCTGTTTCTTATCTTTAGAAATGTCTGTCCATTCCTCCTTACAGAAGTTATATTGCCAGGGGATCGTGGATGAACTGTAACCTTCAAGTCATTCTACAGGTTTTCAGTAGGATTGAGGTCAAGGGCTCTGAGTGGGCCACTTGAGGACTTTTACCCTGTTGTTCTTTTGGAACTTTGGCTGTGTGCTTTGGGTCATCGTCATGCTGAAAAGTGAACAACTGTCCCAATTTTAGCTTTCTTGCTGAAGGCTGTTGGGTTTCCCTTCTATCCTGACAAGTGCCCCATTCCCTGCTGGTGAAAAACATTCCCATAATATGATGCTGCCACTCCAATTCTAGACTGTAGGGATAGTGTACTTTGGGTTATGTGGTGGGTTTTGTACCAAACGTAATACATTTAGGCTAGTAAGTTCCATTTTTTTTAGTCTTGTCAGATCACAAAACATTTTGCTCATGTTTGCAGTATTTTATTGCTTTATTGCTCTCTTTTCAGTAATCACTTTCTTCTCGCCCTCCTGCCATGCAGGCTAGATTTTTGGAATACTTGGGATATTGTTGTCACAGGCAAACATGGACCAGTCTTGGTCTTAAAAAGCCTGTAGCTCTTTCAAAGTTGCCATTGGCCTCATGGTAACCTCTCTCATTAGGCTTCTTCTTGTTTGGTTACCCAGTTTGGATGGATGACCTGATCTGGGTCGTGTTTTGGTGGTGCCAACACCTTCCACTTCTTAGTAATCATCGTTATCATGGTCCAGTGGAGATTTAATGTCTTTGAAAACTGTTTATATCCATTTCATCCTCTGTGCCTTTCTGCAGCTTTATCCCAGAGGTTATTTTATGCTCTATGTTGTCGATAGTACACTCTTTACATTGTGATATACTATCCAGCAGAGGAGACCTAAAGGAGCACCTGATGAACCCATGACTGGTTTTCATAACCTTTCGCGAGTTAAGGGTGTTCTGATGAGAGAAAGTCAATGTGCTTTTTTTAAAAAATGCTCTTATTTCACAACTGCTCTTTCTGATCTGATCAAAATATGATGTTAAATCTGGTGGTGCAAGATGTATAACTTTGTCAATGCATTTGACAACAAGCGACTCACAATGAAGCATGCAGTGAGTGGTGATAACACGG